TTTTGTTGTCATTTTATATTTTATCATTTAAATTGTTTGGTGTTACAAATAAATAAATTATTCATTTACAAATTGTTTGCCTGCATTTTTCAGTGTCTATGAGTCTATAGTTAAAGAAAATAAGTAGGTTGTATGACTGTTTATATTTGAGTTTATACAAGATTATCATATGAAAAATAACATTCAGTGCAATAATTGCATTAAATTCACAACCCTCACTATAATTTAAGTCAATTTTAAGTAAGCCAGAGATAATGATTCATTTTCCATATTGATTCACTGTGCCCCAGGTAGTGATTCACTGTGCCCCGGTACCGGGGCACAGTGAATCACTTACCCCTGCACACTTTGAAACGCTCTGTGGGCAAGAATATAATATTTAGCCACATTTTAAGGATTCCTATCCAAGGCCAAGATGTAATACAATTATTGTGCACATACAACATTCAAATATCTGTGAAAACTTTTGGAATATTAAAAAAAAAAAGATTTCTGATCCACTGTGCCCCAACTCCCCCTACATTCAAATTTATCTGATTATCACAACAGTAGATTAAAATTCTTTGACCCCACTCCGGGGTGTGATGTAGCCTACTTTATGGACAGCCCCTTGATAGACACATAATAGTGGGTGAGGGGGTCAGAATTTTCGGATAACCCTCACAATCTCTCTCTATAATAATATAATATATAATGTATAGTAGGACAGTGTTATTTTTTAAAATTAATTCCATTGCTACTCGTTTGTTCGCTAATAAAGGCTTCTTTCCGACACTTTCGTTGTTTAGTTCCGTCCTTATTTTCAAGGTTTCTCAAGCATTGTTTCACTTATTACCTTGTATTTGTATTTCAGGAGTATGACGTTATGTTACGCGGTTTACGTCATTGTTCAGGGGCGGACAAATTCCAGGGCTGTCCCTGGTGTTACAAATTCTAGCTACGGCAATTTAGAGGGTGTGAGAAATGTTCTAATCAGAAGATTTAAATTAGCTTTTAAAAGATTACTTTCAAATTTCTTCATTCATTGAACTGTATGTAATGAGTTACATGTTTATTTCCTAAAAAAACTGTATGTAATGAGTTAGGTGGCCATCCATAAATGACGTCACGCAAATTTTGCGGATTTTTGCCCCCCTTCCCCTAACCCTTAAAAAAATTCTCCCCTCATTGGTATCAAATTATTGCTAATGTCTAATGTGTTAGAAAAAATTTCCCTAGTACAGTGGTTCTTATCCGGGGTAGTTTAAAAATAAAATAATTATAATCCCTGTAGTTGTATCAAGGACTTATTTTAAAAATTGCTGTAATTTAGTGTTGTATAGTGTATTTTTTTCCAAAGAATGGGCCGCTTTTAATGAGACGTCACATTGCTTACCCCGCTCCCCCCCCCCCCCCCCCCCACTTTCCTTGTCTCACATTGGGACACACAAATTTGACCACCCCCCACATACACACCCTTTTCTAGGCGTGTGACGTCATTTATGGATGGCGCCTTACATTTATTTTCTAAATTATTCTTTTTGTTTAAAAAAAAATTAATGTTTAAACTCACTTACTAAAAATTAGAAACTAATTTTGTATCACGTAAAATACATTAGCACAAAGAAAGTCTGTGTAGGAGGGCTGTAGGGTACTCTATGAACAATGGTGGACGAAGGCGTTACTTTTTTTTAATATGGAAGGGTGTGGCATTTTTGACCAACGACAGAGTTATTTTTTTATCGTGGAAGCCGGCGGCAAAAATATAGGCCCGCTCCCGTTGGCCCTAGAACTATCACCACCACTGTCTATAAACCTAAAGGATTCTAATTTAATGTAGAAGAAACTAAAAAAAATTATTAAAAAATATTTTCTGCACAATTATCCAGTGAAAATATTACTCCAGTATTTTAAAAAAAAAAATACAACAAACAACTTCAATTAACAGCAAAAGCAAATATTCAAGTGAATCCTTTTCAGATTTTAAAAATGTATTTTGACATCAGTGATCTACACACTTTCTCTGTTGTTGAACAATTTTACATTCACACATCATTCTCCAAAATGCACTGCTTTTATAGATTTGAAATAGTTAATTACTAAAACTAAACTATATTTCAAACACCCACTTGCAAATCAATCAAATCTTTGGATTAATTTCACTGTGCCTGGGCTGTTCGCAAATATGACATCCACTAGTCTCCCGGTATTCCCACACTTGTTCAATTACTCTCCTTTATTTTTGAAACATGCACGTTATAAGTTATAGGTATCCTGTTGGATTTTATCATTATACATTTTCTTATGTGATCTACAGAGCTGGATATTGATATAATAGTAATGGTCCAGGGAATTACATCACATAATGTTAAGTCAATTAAGGGGGCAACGTCTCAATGTATTGGACATTTCGGATTCTATTTTCAAATACAGATTGGAAATCCCTTCAAATATGTTTATCTCTGTGTTTTATAATTATAATTAAGTGTTTACCAACCTGGGGGTTATTCATAATTTGTTTTAGTTGGATAACAAGAAATGTCATATACTTGTTGATAATTTAGTATTTTCAGAGGTGTCATATGGTTGCTTGCCCCCATGTATTGTAATGACATTGTTATTCAGAGGATGTTCTAGGTTTCACTTTGATAGTAACAATATGACATGGGTAGGCTTCTGCATCACTACAGATTGTGTGTTCACCATCAAAAACATTGACTGGCGATGAACTCATACAGTTCTGCTTTTCACCTTTCTTTTCATGAAGTACTTGTGCTAAGACAAGATGGACTTCTTCCCCGTCATTAAGGTCACTTTGCGTTAAACAGTCATTTGGTGACCTGACAAGCACTACACTATCTCCATAAGTTTTTGCTGCAAACGAGAAGGTGAATGCAGAATTTTAAAAATCTGAGAACTAACTAAGTGTGACATCAAAATTATTCACTTTTTATTCTTGAGCTTCAGCTTTAATCTGAACCAACATACAATATTTGTGTCAGAATTTATTCTAATTCAGTGGTAATTTCTAAATATTCATAGCTAGACTTTTGAGAGATTCAAATGCTAGAATATTACTTATTAATTGATTTGATATGTCATATATTTTTTTTTAAAATTTCAAATAGAAGAAAAAAATGATAGATGAATTTTTCCTCCAGATTTTTAATAATAATTTTTATAAAAACAATTAAATTAAAATATGAATTTAAAAAAAAAACTTTTTTTTTTTAATGCCTTATAATTCCATTTTGGAAGGTTTATAAGATCTTTTATTATTTTTTCATAACAAAGTTATTTGTTAAGAACCCCTAACAAGAGCCTTTATTTCTAAAATAACAGGTTTATAAATAAAATTAAACAACAAATAAAGTCAAAATAAAATTTAAAAAAAAATTAAACTTTGTTTCAAAATTAATAGAATACCTTTTAGTGGCATAGCACTGAAATTTTTATGGAGGCCATATTTACAAACGAACGATTGACAGGTGGCTGAAACTCTGTGCCACATTATGCTGTCAGATGACTTTGTCATATGCTTTTTCCATTCATAAGACTGCCACAATTGCAAGTTCTCAATCCTTTTGATCTTAAATGATTGTTAATAGGTTAATAAAAAAAATATAAATTTTTTTCAACTTTAACATATTTTGAATAATTTATATGTTATATAACAAAGTGACAGTTATACATTTTATAAAGGTAAGATTACATTAATAAAAAAATGACTTTTATTTGTTCCTTTAATATTTTAGCAAAGCAACTGTATGATTATTTTATTGTTACACATTTAAGCTTTGACAATAATTAATATCACATCTACATTATTTTATGCCAATACCACATTTCAATTATGATAAATAACTATTGTACCATGATTTACACTGTTTTATTTAAAAAAGAGGATTCTTCCAGAAACCACTAAACTCTTGAAAAAAAGAGAAACATATTAACATGTACATACTTCTTTTATTTCCCAATATTCCCATTGTACAATATTGTCTGTCAATAGGTCTTCAATATTTTTAAATTCTTTATCAGCATTTGATACCAACTTGAGCTTGTAAGGATTGTTTGTTGAAGTTTCCCAGGCACGAGGTGGATCAGGGTAGTAAGTAGCATCTGCATTAAAAACAATGTCTTATTAACTGAATTCCCAAGTCACAAAATTAATTATCCTTGAATCTAATCTCTTTTGAACAAATGTTAGTAAATTAACATAAATAAATTAATCATAATATTTACTTTAAGGCTTTGAAAAATCTGGAAAACAAGGCTACAGAATCTATACGTTTTTCAAAACTTTTTTTTATAACTTGCCATGAAAAATTTATTTAATGTCCGATATTCAAACCAACTTCCCTACATTTTGGTGGGCTGAAAATTGATACATAGCTCATTTTCCAAAATGGATCCTCAAAAAGACTTAACTATGATAAGCGATTTTGAAATTTTATATTTAAAATATTTTGAACAAAGAGAGGAAATTGTTTGCGTATCAAAGCAAAAAATGGGAAGTAATTTTTGTGTTTTGACAGTAAAAAAAAAGTATTTATAAAAATTCCTTGACAACACTTACGATCAGTACGCGGTGAACAAATGAGCCATTTTTCATCTCCATCAACACAGATCTTCATAGTTTTGAAATTAACCACACTGGTGTCTTTTGTAGTTATTTTTTCCATTTTCTTATAATGTTCTTCAAGTTGCTCTGAATTAGCATAGGGTACAAAATCAATATTCTCTCCCTTATTTGGCTGTGTTTCAATCATCCAACAGAAATATTCCTCACATTCACTTTTATGAGCTGATAAACTAGCATTGATGCTCGTTTTCTGTTGACTTTTTCTGTCATCCTCATCAGAACATTCTGTGACAGAAGCGCTCTCCACTTGTGATGATGAATTAAAATAAAATGGACTTTCTCCTAAAACCATGTTAATAAACTCTGTCACAGTTTCTTTCTGCAGACCACAAACTGTTAATAACGATTCTTTGAACCTGTCACTGTAATGAGCAATTCTGTCACGTTGACTCCTTCCTCTTGACAGGTTTCGCTCTTTTGAAAAGCATGCCCCCTTGTCCAGAAAGAATTGTACAGGCATTTCTTCTGCATTTCTCATCATCTTCTGTAGTTAAAAAAGAGTTTGATAAATTTATAAAGATCATTAGTTGTGAACATACCATCTGACTTTTCATTATTCAGATCATTATAATAATTGGATTTTTAGAGAATTAACTATTTAAATTTAAAAAAAAGAATACCTCAAAATCTATTGTTTGCTGTTCATTCAAAGTGTGCTTAGAAGTGTTTTGTGTCATTAAATCTTCCAAGTGTTTTTTGAGATCTGCTGTTGTCTTCCCATTATTTTCAATAGATTGACCTGAAATTTTAATGGTGGTCTTGGAAATTCTCAAAGCTAGAGAACTCTTAGCAGATTTAGGTTTGTGCTGGACTTCAGGGTCTGTTTGCAAAATACAAACATGAAATAAAATGAAACCACATAGAAGGAATTACAAAAATAAATGTATTGAGCAATACTTTAGATTAAATCTTCAAAAGAAGTAGACTAATTAATTATTCTAGATATAAAATATAAAAATTATTAAGAACAAAACATAAGAATAACAATATGATAATTTTATATTTGTGGAATTAGAACAAAAATTATTGTACTGAAACAAGAATCGTGTACTGATTTGAATAAAAAGATTAATAATGTTCACAAATTCAACTTACTTTGAGCTTTTGATGTAGTTAATTTGTTTACTGAAACAGAAAGCAAACTATCTGCTTTAAAAATGAATTACGACTGAATTTTTTACTCTGAAATATAATGTAGATGGTACATTACAGCTACAACTATGTAATAAGAAATATATACAAGATAGGGAAAAACCTGAAGAAAGACGATATGAAACACCGATGTTTGTGCTAAGGAGCCTTGGACAGCAAAAAAAACCCAAAAAAACTTAGCTGTAGATAGTTGACATGCAACTATGTAAATGTATTACTTTTAACTTTTAAAATTCAACAAAACACTAACAATAATTACCGTAAATTAAAGAAAATATTATGTGCATAATGAAATGAAAAAATATTAAGTTTCTATCAAATCCAGAATGTAAAAAAACCCACAAAAAAAAACGTCATTATAATTATACATTTTTAAAATAAAAGTATCCATTAAAGACTACTTTATATTAGAAATATAATTTTACTGGCAAATGAAATATCAAGTAACAAGATATCTAAGTAATACCAACATTTTTACAGTCCTTTTGTCATTCTATCAACTTTAATAATAAATAAATTACTTGGCATTTGTCTGTCTTAATGAGACAATAGTGTGATTTTACAGGAAGTTGCAAAATCACAGTGCCTGGATATTTGCCAGTCAGCAGATCCCCCTCTCACAGTGTGGTGAACCAAGGGAGAGGTGAAGGGGCAACCCAAGGCAGCACTTAATGGGGGCAGCAATAATGTTTATAGGCTTATTAAAAATAAACTTAAGGTAATTTTGCTTTTGGAATAGCAAACTATTTTTTTAAATACTATCTGTTTAACCATGATTATGGCATTACAAAGCATCCCTCTTTCTTTGGTAGTATTTAAATATTTCAACATAAAAGTTAGAATTTAGTGAACAAAAAAGTCAATAAAAATTGCAACAGCAATCCATACTATGTTTTGCTTAAATTTAAATTGAATGCTGGAATTCATCTTCAAATCACCAGTATAACCCAAACTGTTTATGCAAAGGGACTGAACTGTTGTTGCATAATATTTCAAAATTAAAAGCATTTGTTATTAAATTCACTATACTGAATGTAGAGCACTGATAGTCCCAACTGATTGGTACAAGAGGTATTTCGGATAACGGTACCAACATTTTTGGATAACTAAACACCACCACAGAAATGTTGCATTTATGAAGTCAATGCACATAATATAAATATGGTGACCAGATTTTTCTGAGGGTAACCTGGGACCCAAAGCCAAAAATGGTTCCTGAAAAATGACTGAAAGACACTTTCATGATGAGAAAAGAGCAACTTCATTAGTATACATTATGCAATATACTGTACGTTATGGATGTACTGAAAATGTACATTGTGTAAATCAGGAATCGCAGGTGAAATATTTGTACAAAAAAAAGTAGGAAAGTATCAGTAATCTAGTACCAATAACTAAGTTAAAGTTAAGTCTGAGATTGAACATAGTACCGATAACTAAGTTAAAGTTAAGTCTGAGATTGAACATAGTACCAATAACTAAGTTAAAGTTAAGTCTGAGATTGAACATAGTACTAATAACAAAGTTAAAGTTAAGTCTGAGATTGAACATAGTACCAATAACTAAGTTAAAGTTAAGTCTGAGATTGAACATAGTACCAATAACTAAGTTAAAGTTAAGTCTGAGATTGAACATAGTACCGAAAACAAAGTTAAAGTTAAGTCTGAGATTGAACATAGTACCAATAACGAAGTTAAAGTTAAGTCTGAGATTGAACATAGTACCGATAACGAAGTTAAAGTTAAGTCTGAGATTGAACATAGTACCAATAACTAAGTTAAAGTTAAGTCTGAGATTGAACATAGTACCAATAACTAAGTTAAAGTTAAGTCTGAGATTGAACATAGTACCAATAACTAAGTTAAAGTTAAGTCTGAGATTGAACATAGTACCAATAACTAAGTTAAAGTTAAGTCTGAGATTGAACATAGTACCAATAACTAAGTTAAAGTTAAGTCTGAGATTGAACATAGTACCGATAACTAAGTTAAAGTTAAGTCTGAGATTGAACATAGTACCGATAACTAAGTTAAAGTTAAGTCTGAGATTGAACATAGTACCAATAACTAAGTTAAAGTTAAGTCTGAGATTGAACATAGTACCGATAACGAAGTTAAAGTTAAGTCTGAGATTGAACATAGTACCAATAACTAAGTTAAAGTTAAGTCTGAGATTGAACATAGTACCAATAACTAAGTTAAAGTTAAGTCTGAGATTGAACATAGTACCGATAACGAAGTTAAAGTTAAGTCTGAGATTGAACATAGTACCCATAACTAAGTTAAAGTTAAGTCTGAGATTGAACATAGTACCAATAACTAAGTTAAAGTTAAGTCTGAGATTGAACATAGTACCGATAACTAAGTTAAAGTTAAGTCTGAGATTGAACATAGTACCAATAACTAAGTTAAAGTTAAGTCTGAGATTGAACATAGTACCAATAACAAAGTTAAAGTTAAGTCTGAGATTGAACATAGTACCAATAACTAAGTTAAAGTTAAGTCTGAGATTGAACATAGTACCAATAACTAAGTTAAAGTTAAGTCTGAGATTGAACATAGTACCAATAACTAAGTTAAAGTTAAGTCTGAGATTGAACATAGTACCAAAAACTAAGTTAAAGTTAAGTCTGAGATTGAACATAGTACCAATAACTAAGTTAAAGTTAAGTCTGAGATTGAACATAGTACCAATAACTAAGTTAAAGTTAAGTCTGAGATTGAACATAGTACCAATAACTAAGTTAAAGTTAAGTCTGAGATTGAACATAGTACCAATAACTAAGTTAAAGTTAAGTCTGAGATTGAACATAGTACCAATAACTAAGTTAAAGTTAAGTCTGAGATTGAACATAGTACCAATAACTAAGTTAAAGTTAAGTCTGAGATTGAACATAGTACCAATAACTAAGTTAAAGTTAAGTCTGAGATTGAACATAGTACCAATAACTAAGTTAAAGTTAAGTCTGAGATTGAACATAGTACCAATAACTAAGTTAAAGTTAAGTCTGAGATTGAACATAGTACCAATAACTAAGTTAAAGTTAAGTCTGAGATTGAACATAGTACCAATAACTAAGTTAAAGTTAAGTCTGAGATTGAACATAGTACCAATAACTAAGTTAAAGTTAAGTCTGAGATTGAACATAGTACCAATAACTAAGTTAAAGTTAAGTCTGAGATTGAACATAGTACCAATAACTAAGTTAAAGTTAAGTCTGAGATTGAACATAGTACCAATAACTAAGTTAAAGTTAAGTCTGAGATTGAACATAGTACCAATAACTAAGTTAAAGTTAAGTCTGAGATTGAACATAGTACCAATAACTAAGTTAAAGTTAAGTCTGAGATTGAACATAGTACCAATAACTAAGTTAAAGTTAAGTCTGAGATTGAACATAGTACCAATAACTAAGTTAAAGTTAAGTCTGAGATTGAACATAGTACCAATAACTAAGTTAAAGTTAAGTCTGAGATTGAACATAGTACCAATAACTAAGTTAAAGTTAAGTCTGAGATTGAACATAGTACCAATAACGAAGTTAAAGTTAAGTCTGAGATTGAACATAGTACCAATAACGAAGTTAAAGTTAAGTCTGAGATTGAACATAGTACCAATAACGAAGTTAAAGTTAAGTCTGAGATTGAACATAGTACCAATAACTAAGTTAAAGTTAAGTCTGAGATTGAACATAGTACCGATAACTAAGTTAAAGTTAAGTCTGAGATTGAACATAGTACCAATAACTAAGTTAAAGTTAAGTCTGAGATTGAACATAGTACCAATAACTAAGTTAAAGTTAAGTCTGAGATTGAACATAGTACCAATAACGAAGTTAAAGTTAAGTCTGAGATTGAACATAGTACCGATAACGAAGTTAAAGTTAAGTCTGAGATTGAACATGTCACTTGTTCAATGTTCTTAAAAAGGAAAAACAGCTTGTCAGTGAGTAACTAAATACTAAAAATTGACATGTTGTTAAAAAATAAAAAGATATTGGCAAAATCCATATCATCGGAAATATGAAGCATCAACAAGTGAACTGTAATTATTAATTTCATAATCATGACACACTAATATTTCTCAGATGAGAGGACAGCTCTCAGGACAACAGGATTTTTTAATAACATTTTTTCTTTTTTTTAATAACTTTTTTTGGGGAAGTTTTGAATAAAAATTTTCAGATGAATCACTGAAATTGCATTTGACAATATGCATTGATTTTCAGTAGTGATTCATCTGGTGTACACATATTGCTAATCAGAGAAAAGACTCTTATGGTGGGAGCATTTGTCCCTGTCTAAGGAAAAGTACACAGTTTGCTGGAAAACACCACAGCCGGGACATTTCCTGACCTTTCAGGGACACCTGGACGGGTGATGTGAAAATAGTGACTGTCCCGGGTAAAGCAGGTCATCTGGTCACTGTTATATAAAACATTCCGACTTTATATTTATATTAGCATGGCACATTATCATAAAATATATTAACCATACTGCTAGGGTCAGTTGGTTGATGTCAAAAGCCGGTGATGACTACATATTTTCTGTAGCATTTACTTAAGGTTCACCACCGCCCACTACATGTAGATGTGAACCCAGGGGTAGCCCAGGAGTTGATTGCATACTGACTACAGGACTCAAACTCCAGATTATTCTGTTGGGGTTTTATCCCACAGACCGTAACCAAGGCAATGTAGGTTTTGCAATCACCACTAATCAGAGTTTTTCTCCTCTCAGATGGGCCACCATACAAAGTTGACGAGCCCAATCCATTCAGAGTTGTTTAGCTTGTTTAAGTATAGCTGGGGTTTGAACTTTTGTATGTTATTTTCTGGTGTTGACATACTAAACCACATAGCCCTCCAGTCACCCGATAAACTTTCAAATTAAAATACATACCGAATTTTGTTACTTTTGTCATAATCTCGTTTCCTTTCTTATTTGGCTGATTTTTATTGCTATGATGTTGTTTTTCTGACTACAACAAAAAACATAAAATTAAACAAAATTAACTCTTTATTTATTATGTATTTATATGGATCAAATAATTAAGTACCGGTATCAAAATTTAGATTTAAGAAAAATTTGATTTGAAATTCTTGAAATATATTATGTTTTAGCCATCCTAATCTGAAATACTCACTTTAATGAAAGATCTATGATTAGATTCTGCAACTCTGCCATTCTTTGGTATTTTGGTTTTGCACTCGTGAAAGCCTTAAAAGAATTTTAATGTAATTTATACTATCAGTAAAACATTAATTTATGTTAGTTTGGAAATATTTTTCCTTTAACTTTAATATATTAATATTCAGAATGTGCTTGTATCCTTTATTAGCGTCAAAAATAATTAAATAAATTACATTCAATTCTTTAATGACAATTCTTTGATTTATTTTCATTTGCTATGTGAGTGATGTTCTAAAGATTGCCTTAAAGTAAGAAAAGTATTACAATATATCCAAAAAAATGCGAAATCAAATTTTACTTGACAAATAAGTCAAGTTTTAGAACAAGCTTTTCTCATACACATATGTAGTTAAATAGTTGACAAAACAAGTAGCATACCCTTTGAGTGCATTTGTTGATCTGTACCTGTACATATAATAGGTGCATATCTGTTAAAAACAAATGTGAATGCTTTGAAAACTGCTTCACGTGTTGGTTCACATACATAAATATCAGGTGTGAATGAGCTGCATTCTTGGAGATTAACATTTTGTGTATATGAATATGCTTCACAAAGTGATTCAACCAAAGCATGTGCTATTGCATCAAGTGGAAATGGATATTCAGCATCAGAAATATTTTCTGCAGAGAACACCAAAGTTTGGGATTGATCTTGCTGAGCCACATGAATAACATAATTTATGGATGCACTCAGAGATGTCCTTAGTGTTTGAAAATGACTTATCTGTTGATCTCCTTTAATACGCCAAGGTGGGAGGTAGATCAGGTACAAACCATTGCCGGAATCTTGAGCATAACATTTCTCTGTTAAAAAAGGGTTATTTTTAATTAGGAATTTTAAATAAACTTTAAAATAGTAGATAGATTGACTACAAATTAATATTTAAATTGGTGTGGGTAGAGAAAGATTGATGCATAAAGGGGGTTCAGTACTTGAGTGCAATAATTTGGTTAGTTTGTTATTTAGAATTGAAGATTTTTTTACGCACAAAAAATTCTCATGGAGTTGAAGCTATGTCAAAAGAATATGCCTCCATAATATTAAAAAAAAGTATCTTTTTATTAATGACAGTTATAGTAGGTATGATTGTTTGAATATTTCTATTACTTTATTTCTAATATAAAAATCAGTCATATAACATTTTTTGGTTACCTGAACCAGCCAACATGGCCCAGAAACGGTTCACAACTATATTTAGTTAAATATCATTATAAATTTGATACTTGATGCAGTAATAAAATGACAATGAACATAGTTATGGGATTTGGGCTTGGGAATCAAGTCATTGTTCACATAAAAATAAATATCTCTTTGAAAGTTTGCAAGCAAAGCAGTTAACAAAAATTGGCTGGAATTCTATAGAGCATGCATAGTGGCTTATTTAGCAAGAGCTAGTAATAGTTTGAAAAGTTTAATACCTTTGTTTGAGGGCATAAACTGAACTTTCAGCTGGCAATGAATGTCCCCAATAAAGCCTTTAACCAAGTGAACGTTGAAGCCATAACACACGATTGTTTGAAATAATAAACATTTCTTGTCAAAAGTTGTTTTCTGTGTTTTGTCCTTTGATGAAAATTCAAAGTAGCAGTTGTCTCTAGTGGATAGTGTTTTAAGAAATGTCTTGCCCTCATTTGATTCTAAGTAACATTGCATGCCTGGAAATTCAAATGTAACGTCGGTCGTAGACAAGTGACTACACTTGTGACACTTAGCCATTTAAATTTATTATAATTATATTTTTAATAGGCCAACTAGGCCTACTTCTTCTACTACTACTAGCCTACTATTACTAGTTACCGGTACTAAATATTAGTATTACTCTCTCAACTCTCAGAAAGATATTTTATTAGTTGTTCTTTTTTTAAGTGATAGTCTCAGATTCAGATTAGTATTACCCACTAAACTAATAGTAATATGTTCTGAGCCTGAGCCACTGACAAGAGTTTTCGTTTCACCGTCACTTTCCTGGAAGAAATGAACATAAATAGATATAGGAAATTCCCGAAAGAAAAAGAATGAGCTGAAGAAAACGTAGGACAAAAGAAGACTATGAAACTGTGAGAAGTTAAAAAAATATTCTTGATTTCTTTTAATGAAACAAATCAGACTAATTAGGAAACAGTTTCGTTTTAGAATATTAAAACTTTTTAGACCAAACAAATGGAAAAATGTCTAACAATGAATAAAGTATAGCCCATCTTATATTTATAACTTGTTTTTTGCCGAAGTTATCCTATATTATTATACTATATTATAGGATAACTTTGACAAAATAAATAAATAAATAAATATTAGTTTTAGTTTTGCATGTACAATACTCTAGTACCATTTTTGAATTGAATAAGACATGATTCTTGAGTGAGACATGAATAAATGAAAACGTCATTACTTCCTACTACTACTACTAAAAATATCATACTAGGACTGCATATATTAAGTTAGAGTTAGGGACCTAAAATAAAACCTAATGAGACAATAATGGCCGATTATAAGGTATATAAATGCCCAATAATAGGCCTGCTATACTATAATATACTATATTATATATTATATAACTTTTATGAAAAGCATTCTCCTAATACTAATACTTTGATAGTAATGAATCCTTTTTTGACATGTCATTATGGCTATCAGATAGGGTTCTTTATCCAGTACTTTATCTCTATCAAGAATTAATTTGTCCAAATAGTTGTTGCTGTAGCCTACATCATAAGTCTAAGTCATGTCATCAATGTGTTTTAATACTGATTATTTATAGTTGAATTTTTATTTAATACGGTATGGATGCATTCTGATTTATAATTGATACAAATTTCAATAGAGCTTGCAGGAAAAATTGTAATAGGCTTTACATTCTTTTAAAATTAACATAGATATCTTGTACATTCCAAGTTAAAAATTTGTCGAGCTTTGTTGAAAAGTTTAGATAGTTTAACAGTGAGCAATTAGGGATGGTTACTTCATTTATGGTGCAAAGGAAAAAACAAAACAAAACACAGGATTTCAAAAAATGATTATAGAAGTTTATTCCCTTTTTTTTGTGCACATAAATCTTATAAGGAATTATTATATCATCTACTGAAATAATAAAATAAAATGTAAAAATCTCAAGACACAAGTCAAAGAATATGAGACTATGCAATTGTATTATATTACAATTTCAGCTTGAGAATCATAATAATATTTACAAAGATATTAAGATATTTAAGATATTATAGACCTGAAATTTTGTGAAGCCCCACCCCCCCAACCTCCTTTTTGTTTTTTTTTCCCCCCAATTACATTTTCTATTAAAAAATATGACTTCCATTGAGAACTGCTGATTCTAGTCTGAAGTAGTCATGGACATGTCTGTTTGATGAATTAGTGTTAGGATGAAGATGTATAAGGACAGTAAAGTTTATATAGTAGCATAAGAAAAGGGGAGGGTATTGGTATTAAAAACTTTTGGCGGGGTGGGGGTTGTGGGAACCCCTTTTATATAAGAGAAGCAATCTTCAACCCTGATACAATTTTTAAAAAAAATTGATATAGTAAGAGAAATTACATTGTGATTATAGATGCAGTAACAAAAATGTTTACAACTTTATTAAGACAGATTAAAAAGTAACATTTCTTAAAAGTCCTGATTTTTTTTAGTTTACTTTTTAACAGTGATTCCACAGAAAACCATCAGTGACCCCATTTGGGGTCATGAAATATGGGTTGGGAACCAGGGAATATGCAGCCTTGCAAGCCAAGGCACAAGCATGTCATGTACTGTTAAGTAGAACAATGACAAAAATAAACATTCTTGTTATAAAATCACCAGTAATTTTAATCCAAATTTAATTTCAATTAATTCTGTAAAAAATTCTAAATTTCTAAAAAATTGGCTTAATTTCTTAACAGGTTGGGGGATATTTTTATATTCACTGAAGACTATGAGGGGAATATGCAGACTACTGGCTTTAGCTTCAAGCATGTGGCCCAGTTTCATTTTTAACATCTGGAAAATTTAGCATAGGCCTACATATAAATTTTAAAATAAAGAAAAAATGTGTAATTAATGATAAACAGAAAAATAATGAACACAAAATTAATGACAAAGTAATAATGAATCAGGCAATAATGTTTACAGATCTCTCACTTCAACATGAAAACAAGAATGTTTATTTCCATGGCACTTTGCATGAATTATTTTATATATATATATATATATATAGGAATATAGGGCATATAAGTATATATTTATATAAACGTAGGCCAATGCACATAATTCTACAAGGTTACATTTTTAAAATTACTTGTTATGTAGTTATACTTAAACCATTATAGACTTTGTGAAAAAGATGTAGTCATCTTTATGATTTTTATTTTCAGTCCCAAGTCATTTTGGAAATATCAAATAATTTGTCAAATTTTTTATTGGATAAATGTAATTTCAGCATGACCTATATTAAATAAGCACCCAATGTTGCATTCAATGTAACCATTTTATTTCTTCTGTCAAAATTTGAAACATATTAAATAGGAGGGATATCCTGAGCATCACTGAAGATCATCACTTGGTCATCTACTAGAACAGAGTCTTGTGGCTGAACTGCTGTGTCCTCAACGTTACAACAAAGCCTCTTTCTGCCAGGTCTAGTTCTGTCTTGAACCTTGATATATGAGTTGAAGAATATTCTATGTTGCTCTCTTTTTAGATCTAAAATTTTTTGATTTTGAATGAAGAGTTTCAGCATTTCTCTTTTGATCTTCAGGGGGCTTTTGACCTGAATCAGTTCTTAACAGATCCTCATTGACATAGCAGCCAGTGAAATTTAACATAAAGTCATTGACTATGTTTTCACTTAATCCCTTAACTGTAAGGGAAGATTCCAATGAAACAGGGTCGGTCCTATCATCTAGGCAGGAATCAGTTTTGTTTCTACACATTCCTTTTTCAGTTATTTGTCGCTGTTCATTTGTTTGCTTCTGAAGCTTAAATACAACAGGTAACTCTTGCATGTTTGAAATACTTTTCTGAAAATGAAAAGAACAGGATAAAGTAATTAGTACTATAGCATTTGAAATGCAGTTTGGAAGATATTTAACAAATTTCACTTGAATGATTTTGGTCAAATTCATTTTATTCCATTGTGTTTTTAATGACTTGTTAGACTGCTCTTGACAGAAACTAATTCTGAAAAACCTGAGTGGGTGAAATTTTACTTTAAAAAAATTATTTAATGTGAGCAATGGTTTCATGTGACAATGTAGAGGGACTATTTTTACAAATCTAGCTAGTTTAGAAAGACAACTAAACAAAGTTTTGCAGCTCCTGATTTGATGATTTTAGATAAGTTGGTAGGCCTGAATATATCAAATTAAACTGACTCAGTGAGACGCCAACCAACATATCAAGTAAAATGGAATCAGACAAACAACCAATAAATGTGGATAAGACTTTAAATTTTTAAAATCAATATTTTAATAATCTATGGTTATAAAAATGTTTCAAGTCATGAACTTTTATTGTCAATCCTGTTTTCAACAGTGTTATCTGTTATCTGCCTGTCAATCAGGAACAATATGTCAATTTTTCATCAAGGTCTTGCCCCAGCTCTAGGTAAAAAACCTGATGAAATGGGTTAGCCATATAACACTAAGCAAAAAACTGGATACCACCTAAGTGAGAAAACAGAAGCTGGTTGAGCATGAGATTAAATAGTTGGTTGTGTATGCAGTTCTAGCTGTCATCTTACCTTTTAAGCTACAATTGACTAAATAAAATTTCATTAATTGAAAAAAATATTTTAAAAATTCATTTTTTCCACATTTCTCTTCTAAAATCAAAGGAAACTTAAATGCTTTTATATTTTAATATTTTGTTGAATTGATTTATTAAAAAATCGCCTCAGGTGATGAAAGAAACAACCTTACTGCTTTAACTTTTGTTTAATAAATAAATTCTTTCTGTGTAAAGCTCAAAGAAACCTCACACTAAATGTTTACCTCAAACATTAACGTTCCTTTTTTAGTCAGCCTTCGACTGGTGGTAAACTCAGACATCAGCCTACTGAGCTCTCTAGTAAGACTATCGTGAGCTTGTATTAGGTCATCCTTAGATTTCCCCCAATATGTAATAGGTGAAGCCAACACAGCACTTGTCAGCATCTGAGGATCTGTCATTGAGGCTTCCTGTGCGGTACTGCCTGCATTATTTAAACACAAAGACATTTAACAAGTTGCATTGAATAATATAGTCCTCATGATTGGTTATTTAGTGTGCAACTTTGATTGGTCAATGTAGATATTTTGTTGTAAGGCACCCAGTAATACATAAACCACTAGCAAAGACTACACTCATTGGTGATTATATGTCATACGTCTATAGAAATAACAGTCTCATTGCTGAGAAATTGTGATATTTCTTGTGCTGTGTAATGGAGCTCCATCAATTGCACAGAGATGTTATGATATTTTTTCTGTGTGTCATGGAGTGCCATCCTGCTACAAAATCCAGCTGTGGTGATTACATCACACTCTAATATTAGAGGAGGGCAAATCTTGTCCAAGAAAATAATAACAGCTTCTTGATGTGTCACTTTTCATCCTACCTTGTCTAACATAACATTGGCTTTTGTAATTTAATGAAAGGCTAGCCTTGCCAAGACAAAAAAATCTTTGTAAATTTACGAATAATAATTGTACAATGTATGGGACTGTGATGTTATTGTGACAAGTGACAATATCAGTTTCCTAATTATTATCTGCATCTGAAATACTGAGATTAGTGAGATGAGAGCAGAAATAAAGAGTGTCTTCAGAATTATGTTTATATCTTATGATAACTGAATTTTTTAAATAGATTAAAAGTGAATGACTTACGACTTACTTAATTTATGTAACTTATCCACATTTTTAGTATCTGTTTTGTATCTTCTCTCTAATTCTTTATGAAAAGCCTGAAAATAAAATAAAAAAAATAATAATAATTTTTGTTTACATTAGTGACTACAGAGGTATTCCTTTTAATGCTTGTCATTCTTGCCTTGTACTTTCATTCATCATTTGAATATGACTGGCATAAGAACACATGGTTACATACAAAATTGTCAAATGAAGTTCAGACTTTGAATTTATAGTTATGTCTTTCATGATCCAGTCAGATGCTTGCAGGTAAAGAAAGGGTTACAGTAGACACCCCTGACACAGTAGACAGCACTGCTACACTAGTCATTGCTACATTAGACAATGTTGCCAAACTCCCTCTATTTCTGTCAACTAAATTTCATGTAGGGTTCTTTTTTGTTGCTTTCTTTTGCTTATTTTTAAAATCAAGTTTATAATTTTTCAAATTAACCAACACATCTTTAACTTTAAACACATATTAATATTTACATTATCAAATAATGCAGATCAAATAATGCAGGCCTGCACAACATACGGCCAGCGGACCGCATGTGGCCTGCCAGCACCCATTTTGCAGCCCGCGAAGTAATAATAATAATAATAAAGATTATTTGAAAATCACGCTTCATCCCCAAAGGCTCGAAGCGCAGTACATACCACACTGAAGTAAAAAATTCAACATCACAAAACTACATACAAGAATACCCATTCTAAGTCTTTCATACCTTGCAACCATAAACAACACAGGCCAAAATACATCTAAAAGATAACTAGATAGACAACATCACCCCAGCAGGTGTTTGCGAAAAAGATAAGTCTTCAAATCAGTTTTTGAAAGACTCCAGTGTCTGGCTGTGTCTGGGCCAACAAATGCGAAAGTGCACCCCTCATAAGTCTCAAGGCGAACACGTGGTATTGAGAGTTTGCCACTATCAGATGAGCTGAGTTGTCTAGTGGGTACATAAGGCATAAGTAGCGCTTTTTTGACTGAAATTAATGATCCATCTAATTTTACTGCTATTTGTTCATGACCCATCTAATTTTACTAATGCTATTTGTTTCAACTTAAATGATGCTATTTTTTCTAATTTTACTCATGCTATTTGCTCTAACTTTAATAATGCTATTTGCTCTGGTTCATCAAAAACAGAATAAATAGAGTAAACTATTTTAAGAAATAATTTCAGCTTTTCAAATTCTCAACTAACCATGATTGGAAAATGAATATTTCAGTACTTATTTTATTACTTCAAATTTGTTTGAATACTTTCATAACCAGAACATATTCAAAACCTCTAAGTATTCTTAACTTAATCAATCTAGAAAACTAGTATTTAAAAATGTATTTCTTAATGTGAAAAGCATGAGTTTGAATGCAGCACAGACCCCAACAAAAAACAAACAGTTCAAATGGAGGCAAAAAAAGTTTGGAACATGAATAAGAAATTAAACTGTAAGATGCAACTGAAAAATAAAACTGACCTCTCTATATTCTTCATCATGCACAACCAAAACTATTTTTTTCTGCCTGAAGACTTTCAATTTGCTAACTATTTCATCCATAGTCTGGAAAAATGTCTGAACAAAATATTGCTTAGGAAACTTTGGATGCTGAGATTCTGGAACAGTTATGTAGACAGCATCATACTCTGATGAATCAAGGAGGCATTTACTCAGTGAATCTTGAAGTGCCTAAACAAAAATATTTAAAACATCAAATATTCACTTTAATTGAATATTCAACCACAGAATTTAGAATGCCAAACAGTTATTGGGATAGTTAACAAATACTACAAAATTAAACATTCATTTCAACTGAATATTCAATTCTAGAATGTCAAACAGTTTGAGTTATTGAGATAGTTGACAAATATTTGGAGGAAAAAAAACTAAAACTAAAAATAAACACTTAACTGAGTCATCTGTAAACTATTGTACATTTTATTTTCACATTTCAAGCTCCAAAATGGAGAAACTGTATTCATTAAGTAATTGTAATACACCAATTCTTTAATAACAAATAAGTCTTAAACTCTGGTTCCACAAGTGGGAGTGGCCATTCCTTTGAGGTGGACGTTTGTTATTTGTGGGAGTGGAGAACAAAAGCAGAGAAGAATCTTAGTAGGATTAATTAAAATTGATATAAATATGTTGAAAAATACTTAATTTAATATAGGCTATTTTATTTTATGAGTGCAAAAAAACTTAAATAAAGAATGCTTTAAGAAGTTTACTGATAAAAAAACAACAACAAAAAAACTTATAAGATGAAATAAATATTGACAGGCAATCATTTTTGTCTGTTGTTTTAATCATCCATTTTTAATACACAGAACTTAAACATCAAGAGGAATTTTTCAAATGGACATGAAAGCAAGCTCTTTTAATCCACCGATCTGACCTAGTTAGCACTTGTAATGGCCTATCTGACCTAGTTAAAGCAGATGGTAAGCAAAGTTGGAGTCAGTAGATATTTTGGGATTTCTAATTTGAGAATAATATTTTGACACAGTAGACAGAAAAAATATCTTATTTACCTATTTAACAGTGCCGGGTCTCAATTAAGCTACTGTTCTATTTAGCTGTCGTGTCAACTTAGCTGCTGTATCAATTTAGCTGCCATATCAACTTAGCTACTTTATCAACTTAGTTACGGTGTATCAACTTAGCTACTGTATCAACTTAACTAGGGTTAATCAATTTACCTTGTGTATGTCTGTGCCCCATTCAGGAAAACAAAAGATAAGACCATGTTTGTTATTTGAAATCCTCTCTATGAAGCAAGTCTCTCCCATCAACAGACCTTCTGGGAAACGACTTGGCAATTTTCTTAGTGAATCTTCCAACAGGTATTTAGAGCGCTTTGACTCATAATAGAATTGACAGGAAGAAGCTTCCAGACTTGGATGTATAGGGTAGCAGTAAAGACTTTTCATTGTCTACAAATACAAATAAAATTATCATAAAATTACATTAAATAGTCTCTAAAAGTATCAATATATATTAATTTTAACCATGGTTTCATCATGCCAATAAAATATTTAATAAAAGTGAACTTATTTTAATTTAATGTGTAATTAAATGCTTACTTCAAAATAAATTTGTCATAAACCAATACCATGATTAATATAGATTGATATAATTAAAAAGTAGTAGCAGAGAATAAGTTGACATACTGGAGTTTCTGGGCTGATAGATGCAACTTCCACTTTGCACTTTAATGCTGCATACTGAAAACAGTTAAATGTGTCTGGAAAAAGAAATTATTTAAAAGAGAATAATTTCAATTTTTGTTATGGAGTTATCCAACTATGTAAAGTTGTTAACAAGAGGTTTATTATAATATTTTTATCCAGTTAACCTACAAATGATACACTTATCAAGTTTAAAATGTCTGAATATATATAATTGATAATGAAGATGTTCGCATTGATAAGCTATTTTTGAGAGAGCATAGGGGGGGGGGGGAAAGCATGAAACTAATAATTCTGACTAGAGCAGATGAAATATAATTGATGGACTTCTACATTTTACACCTTAAACTTGTTACACAAGGATAAAGATGTTCTGAGCTGTTCTTTCTTCCTCATTCCACTAAGACACCATTTCTATCATTCTCTCTATCAACGTCTCACAATATTCCATGGTCTTCCTTTCTGTCAAGCATCCTGTGGATTCCATGACAGGGACTCTCAAGTTATATTTGATCCATCTTATTTCTTCTCTTTACTTCCTGCTCCAATGCAATAATTTACTTTAAAAAATGTTGATATCAGTGTGGATGCTCAGATTTGTAATTCTTCAAAAATGAAGTCAACAATGCTCATTTCCTTTGCCGACCCTCACATTGATTTCTCTGTCACATTCACCATCTGTGACCTTGCCAAAAGTCTTTCAGTGGGCCATGCTAAAAGTCTGTCAGTCAGCCGTGCTAAAAGTCTGTCAGTGGGCCATTCTTAAAGTCTGTCAGTGGGCCGTTCTAAAAGTCTGTCAATGGGCCGTTCTAAACGTCTGTGAGTGGGCCATTCTAAAAGTCTGTGAGTGGGCCGTTCTAAAAGTCTGTCAGTGGGCCGTTCTAAAAGTCTGTCAGTCAGCCGTGCTAAAAGTCTGTCAGTGGGCCGTTCTAAAAGTCTGTCAGTGGGCCATTCTTAAAGTCTGTCAGTGGGCCGTTCTAAAAGTCTGTCAATGGGCCATTCTAAACATCTGTGAGTGGGCCGTTCTAAAAGTCTGTGAGAGGGCCGTTCTAAAAGTCTGTCCGTGGGCCGTTCTAAAAGTCTGTCAGTGGGCCGTTCTAAAAGTCTGTCTGTGGGCCGTTCTAAAAGTCTGTCAATGGGCTGTTCTTGACACCTATTGCATCCTCTCCACTGGCATTTTTCCTTACGACGTGTGCTTTTTTTGAGGTTGACATTTAAGGCTTATGAAGCTGGGGATTTTAGCTAGTCTCTTTATTTTTTCATGGGCATCTTGGTATTTGCCAGATAGTAATTCCATGTCACAGGGATAGTCAGGTCCTAAGCACACAAGTCAGTGTCCATAGTATTCCTTGTCCCTAAGATGATGGTTTGTGGCATGAGCTAATCAATAGCTAGCGAGAAGAGAATCAATGAGAGTATGCACTCCTGACCAATGTTCCCTTTAAGCTGCGCGGCTGCACAGCTATCCCACAGCAGTTTTGAGTATCCGCACAGCAAATTTCCATGTAAGTGTGTGCTTGTGGGCTGTAAAACTTTGCACACAAAAATTTGATGCTGTAAAACTTTGCACACAACTGTATGATTTTGCACACGAACCAGCAAACCTTAGAGGGAACATTGCTCCTGACTACCATGACTTGCAGCTAGCTATTTTAAAAAAAATTAGTTTTTAAAATATACATTGGATACACATTAATGATTTTTAATGTCAGCTTTGTTTCAAATGACAAATAAAACTTTTATAAATATGATACATTTTATCGTAAATAGGACATATTAACATATCTCTACTTCTTAAGAATTTTTAATGAATTTTATTGATCATTTAATAATTATTGGTAAGCCATTTTGTTTAATTATAAAACATTGTACAAATGTATACAGTGTATTATTCTACCTATGTTAAGTATACTTTGCTTTTTTAGGTAACCTACCTGGAAAGCTAATCTTTTCCCAACTTGTTTGGCCAGGTGCTCCGACAAAGATTCCTTGATTCTTCAGTGCAAATGTAAAAGCTTTAAAAACAGATTCATGTTTTGTTTCACAAATATAAAGATCCACAGTTTTAGGATTGGTATTTAAATGAGCAAATTGTTTAAAACTTTGAGTGACACCGTTTGCTATCACATCTAATGGAAATGGAAACTCTGCTTGATGCAATCTTGATGTTGAAATTACAACAGTACAGCCTTCTTTATTTTTAATTTGCTGAAATAAATCATCAATTGATGACAAAAATGTCTGTCTTAATTTTCTAAAATGTGTGAAAGAAGCCATATCTGATGACTTCCAGGGTGGGAGATGAATCCTTATATCTCCGCCAGTTTCCATTATTTTTAAACTGCATTCTTGGGCTGAAATAAATTTACAGATAAAGACTTTTAAGTGAATTAGCAGTTACAATATTATATATATACAATATAAATGAGATGTTTCTATTATAGTTAAAAAAGCCTAACCTTTAAATATGCAATAATGGAATAGGCAAAATAATTATTTAACATGCACTTTGGCATGCGAGGCTGTCTTCAAATCACTAAATACAAACCAGAAAGGATTAATAATACAGATTGGTCTTTATAGTTTTAATTTATAAAAAAAAGATTCATTATCTTTATCATGAATTCTTGAATGGAAAACTTTGTTTAGTACTACTCATTCTTTGATCCTTTATTAATTGATTTTAATCAGCATTACGAAAAAAAAAAAGCCAAGCTTAAGAAAGAAAGTTCTTTAACCAAGATAATATGTATTTTCACACCATGGGTTGGAAACATATTTCTTTGTGTGAATTCATTTGTTGTGTGAGTGGTATGATAAATAGTTTCTTTAACTTGATTAGTATAAAGTTCAGTACTTGCATAGATCTAGTTGTTTTGCTTTTGATAACGGCAGATTGAAATTTTTTAATATTCTAAGAACAATATTTTTTGTGACTTATTTGATTTTTAGTACCGTATTTACTATTTTTAAAATGTAAATTTTACATACTTAATCAAAGTTAAAAGTAAAGAGAGAGGGAAAAAACCCATTAAATTACCTTCAATAGATGGGATAAATTGCACTTTAGTGCCAAAACTTTGGTGAAGTTTCATGTCCTCAATGTTACCTTGCACAAGGTGAATATTACAATTATTTTGTCTACCTGTTCCCAGCACACAGACTTTGTAATTGAATCTTTCAATCTTTCGCTCTACTTGCAACTGTGAATTGTCAATCTCTCCTTTGAGGAATGGATAGTCAATGAAGCATTTGTATTTTTGTGATATTTCCAAAATTAACTTTTTACCATCCTCGGATTGAAAAAATAAATTAAGTCCCGGAAATTCAAGTTCTTTATCAACAAATGTAATTCTTTGGACGAGTGACTCTAGTTGCCTTGAAACATCCTCCAAAACTTGGTAGCTGTTGCAGATAATTTGGATATCATTTGATCTTATGTTGATCTGTGTTTCTGCATTTTGTTTTTGCATTTTTGAAAATTCATCCTGTAAAAATTGCTTGCAGTATTGCTTTTTATTAAAATTGATGGGCATTAAAAAGCTCTCGGATGACATTGGACATCCAGGAGCCTGGCATAATTGTGTTACAGGTTTGTTCTCTTGAGTCGATGAAGTTTCATTCATTTTTGGTAGTGTTTTGAGGTCACTCACTTTGGAAATAAATTCTTTTATGCTACTTTCAATGGATTTGGTTTCAGAAACATTGCAGAAGCTCAATGCCAAAAGCTCTATGGTTGTCCCTTCGGTGAAAACTTGGTGACACACATGCGTTGAATGAATGGCACCAATAAACTCATTCCATGCAGGCATACCCTGGAAGTTTTCATCAGGAAGTAGGTGGCACTTTTTGACTACAACCAATGATGAAACAAAAGTTTGGAATAATTCCTGAAAATATAAAATCATTAGTAGATAAACATTTGTTAACCAAAGTAATTCCACCATATGCATAAATTGTATTTGAATTGTGGAAATACTAATATCTTATACAAAAAGCAATCACAAATATTTCTTTGTATACAAGAAAATAAATTCTGTGTAGCTTAATTAATATAACATAAGTTACCTTTTTCTTATTTCCAACAACATGTAAGCTGAATTTGTCACCATTTTTTTCAAGAAAAATTTTAAGTCCTGATGATTTTATGAATGTCAAAATTTCTTGTTGGATAGCTTCATTTTCTAAAAAATCTTTTGTATTATCTGAAAGTTTAAGCTGCAAAAAAAAAAAAAGACATTTTAAATGAGTCTTAATATGAAATGTAAGGTTTTCTTTGAAGGATGCAACATGAAGAATATTTTTTCTAAAAAATAAAAAAAATTTACATCAACAGATTATTGTATGATTTTATTCAGAAAAACACTTAAACAATAAGAATATACGAGGTTATACCAAATGGGATGGGGTGGGAGGGGGCACTTTTATTTGTGTAGGGCTGAGCATTGTATTTTAAAGGCTATTTGTACTCCTTTAATAACTATAGTCAAATTTAAGCTACAATCATCTGTAAAACTGTGGAATTAGAAAGTTGTTCTCCATTTAAAATCAATTCAGTAGTTAGAGAATTGAACAGTCTCCTTAATCATCAGATTTTTGTTGTAGAAACTTAAATCATAACATTTATTTAGTTGTTTAAATGATAAAAAGACAAGTTAAAAAACCAAAGAATGGTTATTACTATTAATTACATGAGTTAACTCTGTTTGTAATGAACCTATTATTGGATTGTTTAAAATCATATATATTAAAAACTCTTGTTTGATTCAAAAGCTGTGTATAGTTTCAACTGAGGCGTACCTTTTTATTCACATCTGAAAGTACTTTATTAATATTCCTACAACGATCTTCAGGGCCTTGAATTGTTATTTTTGCCTCTTCAACATCTATATGGACCTTTAAGCCTTTTTCAGATAGTTCTACGGCTTCTTTGAATTCTAGGCAATCTAGTAGCAATGGCACAATGTGCAAGGCAGATGTGAAGATATTGTTCTTCATGGCTACTTGATAATTCGTTTCTGTAGACATTGACTTTTTTAATCTGCAAAGTATTTCGTGGTATTGTTCTTGTGGTGACTCTTTGAAGCAGTCAAAATATGGATAGATCATTATCGGGTGTCTTTCAAATCTCCTTGATTCTTGACAAACATTTAAGACTGAATCTAGAATTAAAAATACTGAACATGTATTGGAAAAATATGCCAAAATAAAAGTTGAAAAAAGCTTTCAAAAGATTAACTAAGTAGAAGAGAAATATTAGAATAAATCCCCAAGAAGAAAATAAAATTGAGTGACCTTAAAACCAGGCAGCAATAAATAGAAACCCATAATTTTCATAATACTTTGTTGCTTTATTTTTGATACGTCTTTTAAGATAGTGAGAAAGCCATCCATTTTTCTATTATTTCACTTAATTTTCAGCAACCACTTGTGGTTTATTTGTTTCAATTGTTCACCCATAATGTAATTTAATCTACATTTAATGTAGATATCTTGTGTTTAAATTGTTTTCATTGGAAAATGTGGACTTTATTACATATGTATTTATTTATGTGCTTCAAATGTATATGTACAGTGCAATCAAAAAACATTTTTTTTTTATCAATAAAAGAATCTATTTTTAAAAAAATCAAAAATGTACTCATGCTTACAAGACACATAGCAAATATGTTTAGAAAATGAACAACGATAGTTTGAGACATTTCAAAGTTATTGTGGCACTCTTATATGATTAGAAACATTAAAGCCAATTTGTTTAGCTGCAGTCGTGAACTTTTTTTGTTGGATTTCAAGGTTGGATTGAGCTATTCTATTTGAGAAATATATGCTAAATTATTGTGTCTTAATAACATTTTCTTTATAAGTGAGAATGCTAGTAAATTAGATAGTTATAATGCTCTTATCTAAGAAATACAAACACAAGAAATAAAAAAAAACACACATTAAACTTGATTCAATACCACTATTTAACAAATATTTAAAAGTGCTTACCCCATCCATCCTTAAAGATAATCTCAAAACAGCTACCTGGGAGATTTGTTATTTTTTGGTTTTTCTCCATTGACTTTGCAAAAATCATATTAAGTTTATCAAGATGACCATGCATCCAGGTTTCACCAATGGTCCTAACAAAGATCCTATCTGTTGGTGCTACCATATCTACAGCTATCTGGTTGTGCAAACCATCACGTTGCAGTTGTTGTATTTTCTTGGGTTCTTAATTAAGAGGCATAAAAATAATACAAAATTATTTTATTAAATTGTTTAAAATGTGTGCTTTTAAAATAATTATTTCACCTTACTACTTGAATTAAATATCTATGGGTCATCCTTAAATGAGGTCACACATCTAGAGGGGGGGGGGGGGATATCATGAATTGATAAATTTTTGATGATGAATTATGAGGGTGTCTAAATTATGCTACAAATATGTGATGATGGGCACAGGGTTGGGGGAAGGGGTCAATATCTCCCAAGATATTATGTCCTTTAATGATGACCCCTTATAATAAAATAGACCAAAAAAAATATCTATGGGTCATCCTTAAATGAGGTCACACATCTAGAGGGGGGGGGGGGATATCAGGAATTGATAAATTTTTGATGATGAATTATGAGGGTGTCTAAATTATGCTACAAATATGTGATGATGGGCACATGGTTGGGGGAAGGGGTCAATATCTACCAAGATATGATGTCCTTTAATGATGACCCCTTATAATAAAATAGACCCAAAAAAATCTGTTAAGTATTTACTATTATATGCTACCATTAAGTTAAACATTAAGTTATCTAGAAAAAATCTAAATCTAGACTAAAATGTACCCAGTGGCATAGCTAGTGTTAGTGCTACCTTGGGTGTGCCAAGATTTTAGCCACCACCTTTAATGAAAAAACTCTGCTGTTGGATGAAATTGCCTCCCCCTCAATATAAAGTAAAAAAAAAGCCTCCTGGTCAGACTGCCATCACTTCAACCCCCTTCCACCGCGACTGAATGTACCAGGTGTGCCAAAAAAGTGTGAAAGTTGTATAATATATGATTTATTTATTTTGTTAATTGTTATTTAATTCCCAAAATGGGTGATGGGTGGCCAAGCAGTCTAAACTGTGTCAATCTCAAGCTTGAGGACTGGAGTTAAATCCTCAGAAAAAGCCTAGACAAGTAAAAACATCACCAGTTACTTGGGTAGATGGGATTCTTTAAACTTTAAAGGCAACTCATCTAAGAGAAGTAAAAATAAAACTCTGAATTTAAACACAGAGATGGATTTCTATAGGCTGTATGTCATTGACACAATGACAATTGCAGTAACTCCTGAGAAGCTACTTGTGCCATCCACACATGAGATTCCCTTAGATTATTTAGATGCATGGAAGAGAGTTGATTGACTGTCTACGGAACCAACTTATCCTCATAAAGAAAAATCCCAGGCAGGCCTTACAAGTCTGCACCATTGTCACATTGTGATGGACGGATGAAAAAAAAATGTCAATAATCAATGTGTTTTTCCTTGTTTTCATAAACATTTTACAACCCTTGGTATCATTCATTTATGCTCCTGTCGATAAAACTTTGCAAATGTTTTCTCCATTTCTTTACTATTTGGCTAACTTTAACTGATAAACTGTGATAAATTTTCACAAAATGTAAACTTCTTTAGCAGAGCTCAACATATACTAGGTTTGAATCAGGACTGTTGGGTCAGAATATGACTGGTTCATTGAAGGTAATATTCTAATGATGAAAAAAAATTAATGGTGTTACTGGCTTATTTGTGAGATGGTGCCCTGTTCTGTTGCAAAATCCAGTTATGGCAACCACATTTAGCTTGAATATCAAGTAGCAAGCCTGAGCTGAGAACATGATCACTGTAATATTCACTCTTTTAACTTGTCTCTTCAGCTCTAGGCTGACCAAATACAGCACATACCCCCACTCCCCCCATTCTAGACACATTCCTCCAAAACCTTAATATTTTATTTAAACCTACAACCCTCTCACTTTTTTTAAACCCTGTAATAAAGGTAAAATTAAAAAGTAATAAATTTCATGATGAATTAGCTTTAACTTTGATCTTTAAAATTATTTTTGATTTTTTTTTTTTAAATTGACCTACTTTATGTAGAAAAAGCTATGAGAAAAAAAGGAAACGTCAATTGATATATATCGAAAATTATTGATATCTACTCACAAAAGACACCCTATCACTTTCAGTGTCATTTTACTCATTTATTTATCAAAATATGACCATTTTCCTAGTAAAAACTCATTTTAATTTATTATTAATTATGTCTAGATCTTTACAATTACTAATTAGGCTATTTCATTAAATCATTATTTCAATTTCAATTACAAAGAAAAAAGTAACATGGTAATGTATGTGGGACTAATTATGTATTTTGTATTGTAACAATAAAAAAATCATGAATCATGGCCATTGCCTTACTCACTGTCTAAATCTAAGTAGTTTTAATTTTAAGTAGCCTAGTTATTAACTTAAAATTAAAACAAAACAGATTTGAATGTTCATAGACATAGATAACATTAATTACGATATAATATTAACTAACACAGTGTTATTATATAGGATAGTAGGCCTATAGTATAAATATAGAGTATACATACAAACATAGTCATAACATAAGACCTACCCATATCTTTTTCAAAAATGGCTACAATTCTTTTCTCCTGATAAGGGTCTCTCCAACAGTGAAGTATTTTTTCGCCATCAGTGTGATTTGTTAGAAATTCAATAAGAGCTGTTGTATTGGCATAATTTTTACTGTCAAATCCATTAACTAGTACAAGTTTCCCCATTTTTGAGCCTAGGCTTTAGTCACTAAAGTCGCCAATTTTGTAGATTCTTTATTAAAAATCAAATTCCACACTACACTAAATAATGAAAATGTCACTAATTATTCAATAATAAATAATATGATCCAAGACCAAGCTTTGATTGACTGCACTGCTGAAATTTAGAATATACCGTAACACTCAGTATATTAGCTCATATGGCTATCTTATCAGGTTAGTTGAAGAAAGTTGCATCGGTAGCCCAATTGATTTTAATGACTGAAAATTAAAATAGAAATGCTTTTCCTATTAGTTATAAGCGTCATTTAATTCTAATTATTGCTAAAATATGGTGGCAATATCGTTCGGGTATTCCCTAATTCCCTTTAACTACACCAGATATGAAAATAAAATGGGAAAACCCCACTTAACCCCTTGAGACAGCTGGATCGGCAGAATCGGCACAAAGTCAAAGACAAATGGCAAAAAAGGCTCAGTACTGTTCAACCCGCGGCCCACGAGCTGATTATGAACCGCATCAGCCTGAGCAACTTTTATGATGTGTGTAAAAAATAATTTTAAAAAACGGTTAAAATATTTTCAATCCACATTCATTGATTTATTATTGTTGGGAAATGGCATGAGAGCATAGGAGAAGTTGTAACATGGAAATGAGGAGGTCCCAAAAGCTAAGTAGGCAGATGACTTTACAGGAAGCAGTAATAAATTATGTTAAGCATTTAGCAGATGAACAATTTGGGAACCTGTTTGACATAAAATCTGATACTATATTCTTCCTCATTCTGTTGCTCGTTCGGGATATCTGGTGTAATTACCAACAGCGTTTGGAAAGATGAATTGGGGAACCAAAAGAGATGTAGCTATTTGGTCATTGTAAAAATGCCCATTCCCTCACAATCGGAACCATGGTAGATGAAAATATCTAGCCCCTGATCTAAAGCAATATTCTAACAACCCACGCACTTTAAACTGCAGATTTATTTCACCAACTATTTCAGAAAAAACAAAAGAAAATATTACACACCAAACGCAATTTTTAAAATATTTTTTAAAAGAATCTCATTTAGCGCAGTTATCGGGAACTTCTTTTGGTAAAATTAGCGTCATCATATTTTCCTCATGTTCCTCTTGAAAAAAAGAAAAACAGGAATAACTTTTTTTAAGGGTTGTGTTCGGGGTGGAGGTGAAAATTTGATAGAATCATTGCGTTATTGTCATCGGCAACGAGTTTTAAATTAAATGTTTATTTTAAAAGAAGTCTAACAAAAATTGCATGAATAAATTATGCAAATCAGGATACCAGTGTCTCGTTAGCTTAAATGTTGACATTTTAGTTTGATTCATAACGATCCTATAAGATCATCCAATTCCAATTAATAAGAATATATTTATAGTTTCATGTTTTTATATTTAATATTGACAAGTAATTTTGTGTGTGTCTGTTTTTTTGCAAAGCAAGACTAGTGCTCGTGAAAAGGGCTCCGTAGAGTTGTAACGAGACCTAACAAACATCTCGGTGCTAAATAATAAAGCAGTAATATGTAGATTAATGACTTACACACTTACAGTTGACTTAGTCCACAGTGACGTAATTTGTGACAAATTTATTTCATTCTGTTGAACCAAGCAGCTGCACTAGTGGGGAAAATGGAAAAAAAGTGTGTGTGTATGTGACTGGGGTGACTAAAAACGCTCCCAGACGTTTTCCCACACGCCTCACCCTGCCACCTACTCACATAAAAAAGTAACACCCCCGATCTCTCTCTCTCTCTCTCTATATATATATATATATGTAAGTAATTTAGTGTGGACAGGGGAGGGGGAAAAAAAGGTATAAAATAGGTCATCATGCTGCCATTAATAAGATGCCGATCAAAATAAAGGTTTATAAATTTAAAAAAATATCCCATTTTAATGTTACAGCCGCTCTCCCGCCATTTTCAAACTAAAATATGTTTCCCAAAATCAAGAGCAGTGATGGTGTTAGGGTTAGTGTCGCCCGGAGAAGGCGGGACAGCTTTTGGATTCCCCTTCTATAAATAAACCAATAAGTTGGTCGGAAAAGCCACAACCCAAAAACAAAACAATAATGTTCACCTCAACACAAAAAGTTAAGGAACACCGGTTTGTGGTGAATTGACTTCAGTTAATTGCCTTTTACGTCACAATTTGAATAATTCAGAATTATTTTTTTGATTGAAAGTGGGTGAGAAAGCATTGTATACCATTGGGAGGATGTGCCCAGTGCCAGATTAGGATCCTCGGAGGCTCCTAGGCAGTCAACATTTAGATCGCCCCTTTTAAAAATTATATGTGAATGGCATATCAGCAGTGGCGTAGCTAGGGTTGCTGCCACCCAGGTGGCGTCAGATCTTTTTAACGCCTCCTTTCAACGAAAAACTCTTGTCAGATGGCCGAAAATGCCACCCCTCAATATAAGAGTAAGGCACTCACCCCAATGGCAGGCACTCACCCCAATGGCAGGCACTCACCCCAATGGCAGGCACTCACCCCAATGGCAGGCACTCACCCCAATGGCAGGCACTCACCCCAATGGCAGGCACTCACCCCAATGGCAGGCACTCACCCCAATGGCAGGCACTCACCCCAATGGCAGGCACTCACCCCAATGGCAGGCACTCACCCCAATGGCAGGCACTCACCCCAATGGCAGGCACTCACCCCAATGGCAGGCACTCACCCCAATGGCAGGCACTCACCCCAATGGCAGGCACTCACCCCAATGGCAGGCACTCACCCCAATGGCAGGCACTCACCCCAATGGCAGGCACTCACCCCAATTGCAGGCACTCACCCCAATGGCAGGCACTCACCCCAATGGCAGGCACTCACCCCAATGGCAGGCACCCACCCCAATGGCAGGCACTCACCACAATGGCAGGCACTCACCCCAATGGCAGGCACTCACCCCAATGGCAGGCACTCACTACAATAGTAGGCATCCGATTTCAGGATTACTAACTGTAACGGGTTGGGCCCCGAATTCAAAGTTTACAAGACTTATTATAAATCTACCCTTTTATAGGAGAAAATTATTTTTTTTTGTAGCTACGGCGACCAGACGCCGCGGTTTAAATTTACCCGGGACAGTCCCTATTTTTGCGTCACCCATCCCGACGTCCCCGAATGGTCAGGTCATGTCCTGGTCTGTGCGTTTAACGGCAAACTGTGTAAGATACTATTCCCAGTCCAGGGAAAAATGCTCCCATTATTAGCGTCTTTTTTAAACAACATGTGCACAACAAATAAATCGCAAATTAAAGTCGATACATTGCAACATGTGCTGGTGGTCAAATGAAATTTCAGTGATTCGTGCGACATGTTTTATAACGTTATTTAAAAAACTCCTGATGTCGTGAGAGCTACCCTCTCATCCCAGAAATATTAGTGTGTCATGAATATGAAATGAATAATTACACTTGACTCGTTCATGTTTACTACTTCTGACACACGATGGTAGTGTCAAATTTAAAAAAAAAATTTTTTTAACATGTCAATTGTTTTTAGTTAGTAACTCACTGACAAGCTGTTTTTAAATTCTTTATACTAATTTCGCTTTTGTTCGAGTCTTGCTGAATGGTTGGAAAAAACTTCGGACGACTAATTGACCCACTTCCTGTCAACTGACCGAAGTGAAACTTCGCACATAGAAAATGTGGTGGAGCGGGTCTAAGATGGGGGCTTAGCCCACTCCCCTGAAAGTTTTTGATAGTACCGGTAATGATAGTTAAAAATACAGGGATAAGAACTACACCCTAGATAAAACGGACCCAGTTATGTTCAGGGATGCAAGACAGTTCTGTAGTTCATGTAGCCTACATCGTACGAAATGTGATGCCATGTTATACATAAGCTCAGGACCGTGCCAAGGGAAAGCTGTGCTCTGGACTCTGGGCAAAGTCGGAATTTTCTAACCCCCTTCCTAAAAATGATATAGTTTGCACAATTTATATTAATTTTTTGGCACCCCTTAATGAAGGTGCCAGGGCTGCATATGCTTCACATAGTTATAAATGTGCAGTGCATAATGATGTTGACGGTACATAAGTTAGTACACACTGTGCTGTACATAGTTTAGCACCGGTACATACTTCAATGTACATAGTTTATTTTGTGCAATATTATGGTCAGGTTTGCATTAACCTAAAATAAAAAAAAAACATACAATTTTTGTTCAATGGCTTTGTCTACCATTTAATTTGCACAAGTTTTGTTTTTCTGTCAGAAAATAAATTCTTACATTTAAATTTGTTATTTTCACAGGTATTTTTTCCTTTAGTTCTTTTTCTATATTCTGAAATGGCTCTGAGTCTACAACAAGTTTAATATCTTTCCAGACTTCATCTTCTTTCACAGTCCAAACTGCCGGTTTTGTTTCTTGTAGTGAAGCTAAATGAATGAGTAAATATTGGAATTACAAATCGATTACAATGAATCTATGAACTTGGTAGTACAGAATTTAAGAACGTAGTACAAATAGGTTTATTACATTGTAAAATTCGAATTCTAACACTAATTAAATTAATCTTGGACACAAATTTAAAATAAATATTAAACCTAATATTCTGGAATCACCTACCAGTATATAATAATGTGCTGTGAAGTTACATTCCTTTATTTCTTTTGGCCTATATATTTGCTATATTTGGGATTTTGTGGAACCACCTGATGCTAAAATTTCTCCACAGTTAACTATTCATGGAGGTTCAAAGACTCCTATAATCTTTCCTAGACCATCTTTCTGAACCATACAAAATTAAAAACTTAATATTCTGACTATTCTCTCTCTCTCTCGCGCACTCTCCCTCTTGCCCACCCACTCTCCCTCTTGCCCACCCACTCTCCCTCTTGCCCACCCACTCTCCCTCTTGCCCACCCACTCTCTCTATCACGCACCTCATGCTTGCTTGCATGCACACACTCAAATGCACTTGCACCCACTTGTTCTCACACACTCACATCCATGCACAAACACATGGTCTTTCTCACCCCACACACCCACTCTCTCTCACTCACTTCCACTCATTCTTTTACTCTCCTTCACTGTCTCTCACTCACTCTCTTTTGCTGTGTTTGCCTAGGGTTCCAAATATCTGTAGGTTAAACAGGAACACATGTGTCTTCTGTATTCTTTCCATGATATTTGCCTCATATTCAACATCCTTGCTAACCATATCTATGCAATCCTCCTTGTTTTATATTAATTTTTGATTGCCCTCTTATCTTATTTTATTTATGTTTTCAGTAAATCTCAGATACAAATTCTTTGATTTCAATGGGTCACTTCCGTAACTGTATATGTCTACTATTTTCTGTTAACTACATAAATTTACAAC